GATTTCAATTATATACTTTCATAAGAAGAGAAGAGAGGTGGGAAGAAGTTCTCTTTTTCTCAAGGTCCACAAGAAATGGCTGTATTTATGTCAAGAAATGACTTACATGGTGTGGGAATAATGGGTCCAAAATGTACCTGGTGCAACAACAAAAGTGGAAATGCTCGCATTCTTGAAAGATTGGATAGGTGTCTTTTAAACTCCAAGGCTTTGAATGAGGTTCAGAATGCAGTGGTAAGACATTTGGCAAGAATTTCTTCCGATCGTTTTCCATTAATTCTTAGAATTATAAAGGAGAAGTTGTACCAAAGCAAAATGCTTAGATATGAAAACGTCTGGGTGTCTTTTCCGGCTGCTAAATGGATTGTTTTAAAAGCATGGAACAAACCAGTTAAAGGGAATGGCATGGAAATTATTAATGTGAAGTGTAAGAGGACTTTAAAAGCACTTCAATTCTGGAGTAAGGAAAAGTTAAAGAACTTCAAAGAAAGCAATATCCATTTAAAGAGTGAGATAGCTGGTCTACAGTTAGAAGAAGCCAATGGTAATGGTTTAGAAGTAGAAAAACTGGAACTGCTTAGAGCAAAAATTCATGAATTCAATGTGAACTCAGCTCGGTTAAGCACATGGTGGAGACAAAGAACAAAGCTAAAATGGATTCAGGAAAATGATACAAATTCAAAAAATTTCCATTCTTTTGCAAATGGTAGAAGAATGGAAAATTTTATTCATCAATTGAAGAATGAAGTAGGAAATTTAGTAGAAGACCATGCAGAAATTGAAGATATCCTATTGAAGTTCTTTAACAACAAATGGAGAAACATATATGGTAATGTGAATGGATGGCCTCCGATTTTGAAATCTTTATCTGCTACTGATTGTAAAATGTTAGACGAAGAATTCTCATTTTCTGAACTCGCAGCAGTTATCAAAGAGAGTGGAACTAATATTTCACCTGGATTGGATGGTACAACTTATTCTTTCTTAAAAAATTATTGGTATATAACTGGGAATAACGTATGGAAAGCAGTCCAGCATTTTCTTTATAGGACAGCTTTGTTCAAGCTGGAAGCAAGCGCTGGTTATTCTCATTCCAAAGGTGCTGAATCTGAATTCTCCCTCTGGTTATCAACCTATTAGCATGTGTGGTACCTTATATAAAATTATAGCCAAAATGATCTTAAATAGACTTATGAAGGTGATTGGTGGTCTTATTTCGGAGGAGCAAACAACATTTATAAAAGGTAGATCTTTGTCAAATCACATTCTTTTAGCTCAAGAATTGTTTAATAAACTCAAAATTTCTAAATCTAAAGAAGGCTGGGTGGCTATTAAGCTTGGTATGGAACAAGCTTATGATAGTATGGCTTGGGATACCTTAAGATCTATTTTGAAGGAAATGGGATTTCCAATCAGATTTTCGAATCTCGTCATGGAATGTGTAGAATATCCTAAATTCTTTTTAAAGATAAATGGTAAGATCTCGAAAGGGGTTAAAGCATATAGTGGATTCAGACAAGGTTGTCCACTCTCTCCATATTTTTTTATCATTTGCTCTCAATTATTAACCAATGATATATGGTACAATGGATGGAACTTGGGTATCAAAATATTGGCAAATGCACCTAGAGTGTCTCATCTTTTATTTGTAGATGATATCTTGTTGTTCTCCCAAGCTAATAAGAGAAGTATGAGAAGGTTTAAGAAAATTATCTCAGATTTTTGCAACAGATCTGGGCAGAGAATTAATAATCAAAAATCTGTTATAATTTTCGGGAATTCAGTTAAAGAGAGGAGGAAAAATTCTATAACAAAACTTTGGGGATTCAAAATGGTGAAAGAAGTTTTTTATCTGGGCATCAAATTGGCTTTGAGGAGATTGCTAGCATCAGATTTTACTTATATTCTTGAGAAGGTAAATTCCAAACTAAATGTGTGGGGAAAACAGATGATATCTCTAGCTGGGAGAATTATTCTTACTAAATCTGTTCTAGCGGCATTACCAGTGTTTGTGGCTACTCGCACATTAATTCCAAAGAGGATTCTTAAAGAAATTGATAAAGCTGCTAGGAACTTTATTTGGGATAGACAAGGAGGTCTTCATGGACTACATTATATATCATGGGAAAATATGTGCAAAACATGGAAGGAAGGAGGTCTTGGCTTAACGTCGGCGAGTGCTTTGAATGATCCTCTTAAAGCAAAATTTGCTTGGAATTTCTTAAAAGAAGAGGACTCTTTGCTCAATAAAACTATGATGGCTAGATATGGTACTAAATTCTGGGAAAATGCTAATAGAGCGAATAAATCATCAACCTGGAAGATATTGGCTGATGGTGCTCTGGCTCTAAGGCCTATCACAAGGTAGAAAATTGCTGTAGGGAAGTCAATAAACATTCCTAAAGATGCATGGATTCTAGATAAGTGTCTAGAGAAATGGCCTACATTTGTGGTCGTAGAGAATACTGAATTCCCACCACTGGAGAGCTTTATTTCTGATGGATGCTGGAAGATTGATCTTCTTAATAAATTCTTTGCGAAAGATCTGGTGAATATTATTATTCAAATTGAAATTTATCCTTTTCAATCCAAGGATAGCATTGAGCTGAAGAAGATGTTCTCGGGCAAAAGCATTACTGCTTTGGCCTCTTCTTATAATTAATAAAATGACAGAACTGTTGATTATGGAGACTGGCTAAAGAATTTGAAGCTCAATCCTAGAATTGAATGTTTTTGGTGGCGACTTCTCAATGAGACAATCCCAACAAATGGATTCCTGATGAATCAAAGATTACTGGGACACAATTTATGTCCTAAAGGATGTATTGAACAAGAGAATACTGATCATGTCATGGTACATTGCTCTAAACTGCAGCAAGCTATTGGAATTCTTAAAAAATGAGGTTTCCTATGTCCGGTGTTCTCCTCTGCCAGTGATTGTAAGTATCATTTGAAAAGGTTATCAGTGACTAATAAATCAATGGCAAATTTATATTGTTCTCTAGTTTATTTTTCATGGAAGAGTAGGAATTTAATCAAGCATGAAAAAAATGAATGGAGATTGAACTACATTGCCTGCAAAGCTATTAGTTATGCATCAATTTCTTTTTCCAATCTATTCATGGATCACTGGGATGCTAACCAGCCAACACAGCTGATTTCTTATTGGCACCCCCTCCCTCGGAATGGATTAAGGTTAATCTTGATGCAGCTTTAACTAGTAACAACAATGGAGGTATAGGTGGAATTTTTAGAGATTCTAAAGGCAGATTTTTACTTGCTTTTGGACTCAATTGCACTCATTGGGATAATGGAGCGTTGGAACTAATGGCCATCCATTCATTGAAGAATTTCATCTTTAATTGGATGCTGGATGCAAAGGGACTGATTATAGAAGGAGATAATTTTAGCATTATCAAACTTCTATAAAGATCTATGAATAAAGAACATCGGTTTGGTCATGAAGAAGAGATAGAAGACCTATCATTTTTGGATGGATTTGGTAACATTCTTTTCCATTTTGTTAATAGAGATTGTAATAAGTTAGCCCACATTTCTGCTAACTTTGCATTAAAAAATATTTTAAAATCCCTAAAACCAGATTTTTTTAGAAAAAACTGCGAAAAAATATTTGGAGTCATGGTTAAAAAAATTTCTTTTACAATTCTTTTCTTTCGAGATTTGAGAGAACCATGAGAGAATTTGCTCCATTGGTTTTTTTCTCCAAAACTTATTCCAAAATCCTCTAATTTCAGTCTCAAGCTGAAAACTTTGTTTTTTTGGCTTTGTTGTAAAGATCAATTGTTGTAAAAAAACTTTTTTGCCGTAGAATCTGACCAATGGGCTAAGATAGTCATGTTTTTCGAGAAAAAGAGGTGTAACTATTTTTGCAATACACATGAAAGAGAGACTTCTCCTATTTGCTTGGAGCAGAAGATGACAGGAAATGAAATTCTCAAGAAACATGAAGAGTTGAGATAAATCAATATAAGAAACAAGTATATATTGAGTTTACACTCTTTTTCATATTTTATAACTCTTATTATTCCTACATGATCAATGCTAACATTTATTGTTTGACATCTTAATAAATGTAATAAATGTGATGAACGTTTTCAATTAATTTTAATCATTATTAAAATTAAAAATTAAATTAAACAAGAAAATTAAGATTTTAAAAAATAAAGTCATTTTGCTATAAAATTTTATTTTATTGAGAAAGTAATTTTATGGAGAGAAGCTCTGGGCGTTTTATAGAGAGAGAAACCTCTATTTTTTCGAATTAGTTTTTCGCGGGCTTTCAGCGACTGGAATTCTGTCGTCGAACGATCATCGGATGATCGTCGGCGGGTAATTGCTGGTGAATATGGCTGCTCTACGGCCATCTGGTTCTCCAAGAGTCAATGGCAAAGGATCGCTTGGTATTGTAATTAGAGGAGTCGCTCCGGTGTGTCGTCAAGAACATGTTGAAGGTAAGGGGAAGAAAGTTATAGAAGATGTTTGTGAAATCCAAAAAGAAGGTGATTTCCTGAGTAATCCAGGTTTTGGTAAATTTGATTTCTCGGCTTCAAATAATATCAGTTTGAGGGTGAAGAGTTATTCGGGCGTTCTTGGTTCGTTCGGTGGACGGACTATTGAAAACGAAATAAATCCTGAAAGAGGACGAAAAAATGGTAATTTGGCGGCTCATTCTAAGAATTAGATTAAAGATGTAAATCTTATAAATAGGATTGTTGATTCCTCTGAGCGAAATGTCATTGGGGAAATATCTGATGCTTGGATGAAGATGAAGCCTATCAAAATCTCGATCAACAAAGAACAGATTGATTTCTCTGAAGATGGAGTTGCTATCAGGTTAAATGAAGATAAGGAGGCAGAGAATTCTGAAAAATTCCATTGTGATCAAAGTTCTGGGGAATAATGTGCCATTCCCAGTGTGTAGTGTAGAACTAAGGAGACAATGGAGCAAATATGGTGGTTTCCATTTGACGTCATTAGGGATGAACTGGATTCTGTGTTCATTCAAGTCGAGTGAGGTGGTGGATGAAATTTTGAACGGAGGCCCGTGGTATGTGAATAGGAGCATTGTGGGGATGGACAAGTGGACGCCTGAGTTTGATCCAAATTCTTTTAAAGGGATTTCTGCTCCAATCTGGATTAGATTACCGTGCTTACCTCTGTATTGCTGGGATGAAGACAGTATTGCAAGAATTGCTTCGTGTCTTGGATCACCAATGTACCTTGATGGCAATACGTTTCGCTGGAGTAAGCGTGAATTTGCTCGTGTTTGCGTCAAGATTGACTTGGAGAAAAAACTGCCAAATGGAATTTGGGTGGAAGGAATAGCTGGAAGATTTTTTCAAAGGGTGGAGTATGAAAAAGTTGATTTATTTTGCTACCAATGTGGTAAAGTGGGGCATGAGTCCAAAACATGTCCTGATAATGTGAAGATTGGTATCCAGGATCAATCTAAGAAGTTGACTGACAAAGGTACGGGTGAAAGATTAAAGCCTGATGCTGAAGGTAATAATTCAATAATCAATGCTGAATATGGACCTTGGATTCATGTTCAATTCAAAAATAGAAGATTCAGGAGGAATGCGATGGCAGGAAAAGGTGGAAATGTGAAGGGAAATATTGAGGAGAATAGAGTTTCCAGTAATCATCAGGTGGATTCAATTGAAACAATTACATATGAAAATGAGAAGGGCATGAATGAGATTAAGGAACATGCTGAAGTAGCTGAGGGGACTCTATTGCAAAATCCTGTTAATATGATGGATTTTACTGCGGTTGCTGAGAAATGTGAGACTCTTACAAATAACAGATATGCTGCATTGTCTGAGAAAGTGTGGATGAAAATGAAGAGTTAAATGCTGAAGAAGATAAAGCCGTGGGAAAAAATGATGCTGTAACAGTTGTTGAAGAAAATCGTAGTGCTTTGGGCTCTCAAATTAGTTTGGCCAAGGTCAAGTTAGCTAAGGAATTGAGATCCTTAGGACCGGTTGAAATAGATCACAAGAAGAAGAAAAAGGTTGGAAGGTCGAACCCCAACAGTGGGGGCAGATCTTCTCTACTTTTTTGAAATGTCTTCCATTTTATTTTGGAATTGCAGGGGAGCAAGAAAAAGGGAGGCTTCCTTGTATTTGAAAGAAGTTGTTAAGGAACATGGAGTTTTCTTTGTTGGACTTATAGAGACAAAGTTATCTAGCATTGATAGAAAGGAGATTGATTATCTTATTGGCAGTGAGTGGGAGTTCTTTCATTATCCTGTTGTTGGTATCTTTGGTGGCATTCTAGTTCTTTGGAATAGCAAGTTGGTGTCTTTTGATGTTTTGGAAGCTTCTTCTCAGGTGGTTATTGGCAATCTTTTAGTTCCCTCTCTTGGAACTTGGAAAATTGCTAGTGTGTATGGTAGTAGATGTTGCAAGGAGAGAAGTGAACTTTGGAAACAATTGGAAAAGCATTTGACAAATGACATTCCTTCTATTATAGGAGGAGACTTCAATTGTATTATCAACAAAGAAGATAAGAAAGGAGGGAAGAGATTCTTATTCTCTAAGGGACCTAGGGAGATGAAAGGTTTTATGATGAATGCAGATTTTCATGATATAGGATTTGTGGGGCCAAGATTCACCTGGTGTAACAACAAGGAGGGGAATTCTCGTATCTAGGAGAGGTTAGACAGGTGTTTGGCTAATTCTATTGCTATTCAGAAAATTCCGTTAGCAGTTACTAGACATCTTATGAGATTGGCGTCGGATCATTGTCCAATTGTTCTTAAGATGGATGAGAAGGTGCAGTTCAAGTCTAAGAATATTAGATTTAAAGATACTTGGAGGTCTTATCTAGCATCCAAGAGCATTGTTTTTCACTCTTGGAACAAGAAGGATTTGGGAGATGAATCTGTGATTCTTCAAAGAAAGCTTAGTCGCACTCTTAAAGCTCTATTCTTTTGGAATAAGAACAAATGCAGGGATTTAAATTCTTTGAAGGAATAGTTGAAAAAATAAATACTTGAACTTCAAAATAAGGAAGCATTGGGAGTGAATTGGTCGGGTGATGACCTGGTGGCTTTAAGAAGTAAAGTACATGAACTTAATGTCACATTGAAGAGGCTCTCTACATGGTGGAATCAAAGGGCTAAGGTTAGGTGGCATGAAGAAGGTGATACAAATTCCAATTTGTTCCATTGTTATGCAACGACTAGAAGAAATGGGAATAGAATAAATCAAATCAGAGATGAGCTAAATAATGTATGTGATGAAGATAAACAAATTGAAAGGGTTTTTACCATTTTTTTTGGAAAAAAATGGAAAAACACGGATTGCATTATCTCGGATTGGCCTGCAGTTTTTGAATCTCAGAAAATTTCTGAGGAAGATATCATGATTCTTAATGCAGAATTTTCTGTTCTGGAGCTACAAAACTCTGTTTTTCAGCAAGGAAACAACAAATCTCCCGGACTAGATGGGGTTACTTACTCATTCTACAAAAGCTATTGGAGCATAGTATGTGATACTCTTTGGAAGGCTGTTAATAGTTTTTTTAAATCCTGTCATATGCATAAGGAGTGGAAGAAGACGTTGATTATTTTGATTCCTAAAATTAATAGTCCTTTGACTCCATCAAATTATAGGCCTATTAGCCTTTGTCAAACCAACTATAAAATTGTGGCTACAATGAGGGTTAATAGATTGAAGAAGATTATTTCAAAGTTTATTTCGGAAGAACAAGTGGCATTCGTTCATGGTAGATCTATTGCAGATCATTGTCTTTTGGCTCAAGAGGTGTTTCACAAATTCAAAATCTCAAAGAATAAGAAGGGATTGATGGCTATTAAACTTGACATGGAGCAAGCTTATGATAGCATGAGTTGGACTTCTCTTCGGTATGTTCTAGATTGGTATGGCTTTCCTATTGCTTTTTCTAAACTTCTTATGGAATGTGTGGTAGATGTTAGTTTTTCCATAATTATCAATGGGAAGAATTCTAGTTGGATTGATGCTCATAGTGGGTTCCGTCAAGGATGCCCATTATCTCCTTACCTTTTCATCCTATGTGCTCAACTTTTATCAAATTCTATTATGCAAAGGGGACAAAAGCTTGGTATACAGATTTCTCCTAGAGGTCCTGTTGTTACACATCTATTGTACACAAATGATGTTTTGCTCTTCTCTAATGCAAATGTGGAATTAGCAAAGAAATTGAAGAATATTGTGGATGACTTTTGCAAGTGGACTGGGCAAAAAGTAAATGTTAACAAATCTCAAATGATGTTTGGAAAGGCTGTTAGATATTCTATGAAAAACAAGATTGCTAGAGTTCTTGGTTTCAAAGTTGTTAAAGAAATGAAGTATTTGGGAGTTAAGATAACTCTTAATAGAGTTAAAATGGCTGATTTTCAAGATATTTTGTGCAATGTGACGGACAAACTCAACATTTGGACTAAGAAGTCCCTCTCTTTAGGTGGGAAATTGATTCTTATAGACAGCTCTTTGTTATCTATGCCTAATTTTTTAGTAACTCATTCTATGGTACCCAAGAGGGTTTTATATGAGTTAGAGAAACTCTGTAGAAGTTTTCTTTGGCATAAAAAGGAGGAAAGTAAAGGTATGCACTATGTGGCGTGGAAAGATATTTGTAAACCAAGATGTTATGGAGGATTGGGGGTTCATTCCCCACTTGACAGAATCGGTTCACTTCGTTCCAAATTGGCTTGGAACTTTATCCATAAACCACAATCCTTGTTTCATCGTGTTATGGTGGCAAGATATGGCAATGATGTGATGAATAGTGCTCAAAGGAAAATAAATTCAACAGCTTGGAAAATTCTAGTTGATGGTAGTAAATGCTTGAAGATGGTTGTTCGGTGGAGTATAGGGAAGGGTGATAAGGTTAATGTTCTAAATGATACATGGATTCTTAATAGATGTTTCAACAGGTGGCCAACATTCATTGATTGCAATTCATTGGATGGGGTTTATGTACAGCATTTTATTCTTAGTAACGGCTTGTGGGATTACAAGAAGTTACAGTTTTTCTTATTTTGAGTGTTATTATCTGTAGAGAGAGAAGCTTCGGTTAGAATTCTAGAGAGAGAATCTTCTTCCTGGCTTTCAAAATTGGATTTCGCGGGCTTTCCGCTATCGATGGTGACTGCGCCGGTGGATCATCGGCACCTCCAGCCGGTATCCATGATTGTTCCACGGTCATCTGGTTCTCTTCGGTCCAGCGATAGGAAGTCTAATGGAATAGTGATTCGGGAAGGAGGCAAGCCGGTGAGCCGTCAAGAATCTGTTGATGGTAAAGGAAAGAATGTGATGATGGATGAATTGGATGCCCGAGTAAATTTGACTGTTGAAGATCTACCTGGTTCGATGAATGTTGAATCTTCGGCCTCTCAAAATCTGGTTTTATGGGTGAGAAATTTTTCCGAGGTTCTTGATGCAAAAAAGGCGCGTAATGTGGGGGGTGGAGTTGCCTCTTTGGAAACTCGGAAGGAAGATAATGTGAAAATTATGGGCGAAGTTGTTGAGGCCTGGTCGAAACCGAAACCAATCAAGATTGCTTTTGACAAAGATCTGTTGCAATTTTCTGATGATGGTGTGGCTGTTAAACTGAATGCGGAAAGGGAAGCGGAAAATGCTAGAGTTTTGAAGAACTCTATTGTTCTCAAAGTTCTGGGGAATGGAGTTCCATTCTCTGTGTGCAGCTCGGAACTAAGTAGACAATGGAACCAATATGGCAAATTTCACTTGACTTCAATTGGAATGGATTGGATACTCTGTTCGTTCAATTCGTGTGAGGCGGTTGATGAAGTTTTGAATGGGGGCCCATGGTACGTTAATGGATTAATTGTCGGAATGGATAGGTGGACTCCTGCTTTTGATCCAAACTCGTTCAAGGGTATATCGGCACCGGTGTGGATCCGTTTACCTTGCCTACCTCTATATTGCTGGGATGAAGATAGCATAGCTAGAATTGCTTCTTGCTTTGGATCCCCGATGTATGTAGATGGGAATACTTTCCGTTGGAGTAAACGTGAATTTGCACGTGTTTGTGTGAGAATTGATTTAGAGAAAAAACTCTTGAATGGTACATGGGTTGAAGGTTCGGCTGGAAGATTTTTCCAAAAGGTGGAGTATGAAAAGATTGATCTTATGTGCTACCAATGCGGAAGGGTAGGCCATGATATGAAGACTTGTCCAGAGAATGTCAAGATGGTGATTAAAGATCAGTCATTGAAGAATATGGGATCAGATAATGGGCAGGAAAATTGTGTGAAAAATAACAATGAGCTTTCGGTGGTGAGCACTGAATATGGTCCATGGATTCATGTCCAATTCAAGAATAAAAGAGGTAGAAGAAGTAATGCAGTAAACAATCATGAGCAGAATATTGGAAGGAAGACAGAACTGAAAAAGCCAGCTGGTCAGATGGATGTTCGGCTTGATGATGTCCAGGAGAAAGTGCAGGATGAATGTAACAGTAACAAGGCGGATGAAGTCTCTGGGAAAACTGCTGTAACTGGTATGTTCGAACAGACAACGAATCGGTTTGTAGTTTTGGTTGAGGAGAATGATAATGAATCTTTGGTTAAAGATGATAGCAATGACAAGTTGATTGACAAAGGCATGGAAAATATGGAACCAAAAGTTAACTTTGTTTGAATCATGTTAGTGAAGATGTCAAGGTTAAATTAGCCAAAGAATTAAAGTCATTGGGACCTATGAATAGTGAGAAGAAGAAGAGGAATGGAAGGTTGAACCCCAATAGTGGGGGAAGATCTTCTATACCTTGTTAATTATGTCTACAATTCTCTTTTGGAATTGTAGGGGAGCAAGGAAGAAAGAGGCTTCCCTATATCTTAAGGAAATGGTTAGAGATGAGAATGTTTTCTTTATTGGGCTTATGGAGACAAAGATGTCTAATATTGGTAGAATGGAAGTGGATTGCCTTTTGGGCAATGAGTGGGATTACTTTCACCAACCCGCTGTTGGGACTTCTGGTGGTATTTTGGTTTTGTGGAACATTAAGTTGGTGTCTTTTGAGGTGTGTGAAGCTTCTTCCCAACTGATTATTGGTAATCTTTCGATTCCCTTCTTAGGAATGTGGAAGATTGCTACGGTTTATGGAAGCCGTTGCAACAAGGAGAGAGGCGATCTTTGGAGTCAATTGGAGAGGCGCATGGAGAATTCTAGTCCTTCCATTATTGGGGGTGACTTTAATTGTATTCTAAATAAAGAAGAAAAGAGAGGTGGTAAGAGGTTCCTGTTTTCCAAGGGACCGAGAGATATGAAGAGCTTCATGGTAAATTCAGACTTCCATGACATTGGCGTTGTTGGGCCAAGATACACATGGTGTAATAACAAAGAAGGTAACTCTCGGATATGGGAGAGGTTAGACAGATGTATTTTGAACTCCTTGGCTATGCAGAAGCTTCCTTTGGCAGTAAACAGGCATTTGGCGAGGATGGCGTCTGATCACTGTCCAATTGTGCTCAAGATGGATGATAGAATACGTTTTAAGCCAAGAACAATCAAGTTTGAAGACACATGGAGATCCTATCCGGCGGCTAAAAGCATAGTTTATCATTCCTGGAAGAAACAAGATGAAGGTAATGAGTATGAAGTCTTAAGGAGAAAACTTAATCGTACTTTAAAATCCTTGTTTTTCTGGAGTAGAAATAAGTGCAAGGATTTGAATGCTTTAAAGGATAATTTGAAGAAAGAGATCCTTGAATTGCAAAACAAAGAAGCATTGAATAACAATTGGTCTGCTGAAGACTTGTTTTTACTTAGAAACAAGGTTCATCAACTCAATATCACTATGAAAAGACTTTCTACATGGTGGAATCAAAGGGCCAAGGCTAGGTGGCATGAGGAAGGCAACACAAATTCTAAGTTGTTTCATAATTTTGCGACTGCCAGAAGAAATGGGAACCGTATCTTCCAGGTCAAAGATGAAGCTAATAAGGTGCATATGGATGAGGATCAAATTGAGAAAGTCTTCACCAAATTCTTTGAGAAAAAGTGGGAGTATAGGGAATGTGAAGTCACGGGCTAGCCTCAGATTATGGAAAATCAGAAGTTGAATGCTGAAGACATGGACTTACTAAATGCTGAATTTACTGAAAATGAGCTGCAGACTGCGGTATTTCAGCAAGGGAACAACAAGTCGCCTGGTGCGGATGGTGTGACTTCCTCATTCTACAAATGCTATTGGAATATCATATGGGATACTCTTTGGAAGGCTGTTAGAAATTTTTTAAGCTCAAGCCATATGAATAAGGATTGGAAGGATACGTTGATTGTCCTAATTCCTAAAATTAGGAACCCGTTGTTTCCTTCCAACTATAGGCCCATTAGCCTTTGTCAAACCAATTATAAAATTGTGGCTACTATGATTGTTAATAGATTGAAAAAGGGAATGGATAGAATGATCTATGAAGAACAAGTTGCCTTCATTCATGGCAGATCTATTGCTGAACATTGTTTGCTTGCCCAGGAGATTTTTCATAAGTTCAAGATCTCAAAAAATAAGAAAGGGATGATGGCAGTTAAGCTTGATATGGAACAAGCTTACGATAGCATGGGATGTTGGTACCTAAGAAGCTTTTATATGAGTTGGAGAAGCTTTGTAGAAGTTTTATTTGGAATAATAAAGATGGCACTAGGGGGATGCATTACATTGCTTGGAATGATATTTGCAAGCCTAGTAATATGGGAGGTTTGGGCTTACACTCGCCTTTACAGAGAATCGGATCTTTAAGATCCAAAGTGACTTGGAATTTTATTCAAAAGCATGGTTCTTTGTTTCACCGTGTCATGGAGAGCAAGTATGGGAATAATGTAATGAATGGAGTTCACAGAAATAACAGCTCAAATGCTTGGAGAATCCTACTGGATGGAGGCAAGAATTTGAAGATGGTTATTCGTTGGAAGGTGGGGAAAGGAGAAAAAATTAGCATCTTAAATGATACTTGGGTGCTTGATAGATGCTTAAGTCGTTGGCCTACCTTTGTGGACAACGATTTTTTGGAAGGTATGAATGTACAACAATTGATTCTAGACAATGGCAGGTGGAACTATGATCTGTTACAAAGAGCTTTTCGCTCTCATTTAGTCTCTATTATCATTCAAATTCCTATTGAATACAATGAGGAGGATCATATGGAGATGCTGAAGTTTGGTTCGGGGAAAATGATATCTGCTATGGTTTATGAACAAATGTGGCTTAACAGTTGCAATATGGAGGACGTAGAGTATTGCAGCTGGGTGAAGAAATTGAAGCTGAGCAAGAATATTGAATTGTTTTGGTGGAGACTTGGTAAATCAGCCATACCAACCAATATATTCCTTGTGAATCGTAAAATCGCAGATCATGGCCTTTGTCCTAGAGGTTGTCAAGTTGATGAAACGTATGAGCATATTATGGTGAAATGCAAATATTTGGTTGATATAATTCTGAAGTTGAGGGAATGGGGAATTTCTATTCCTAATTTTCATTCACTGGAATGTTGCTTGGAGAACTTAAGGAAGCTGTCTGTTAAGAATCCTGGGATTGTTCGGTTATATTGCTCTGTGGTTTACTACTCTTGGAGAAGTCGTAATGATATTAAACATGGTAAGAATGCTATGCCGTGTTCAGTTATTGCTGCTACTGCCCTGTTCTATGCTATCTCCAAATCCAGTCCATTTCTTTCTTGCTGGGGTACTAATCTCCCTAGGGAGTCCCAAAGAACTTGGTACCCTCCACCGAAAGAATGGATTAAGGTAAATGTAGATGCATCCTTGACAAGTTCTAATTTGGCTGGCATTGGAGGCATCTTCCGGGACTACAAAGGAAGATTTATTAGTGCTTTTTGGAAAAAATGGAGTGCATTGGGATATTGGCCATCTTGAATTACAAGTTGTCCTCACGGTTAGAGAATTTTTGAAGAATTGGATGCTGGAATGTAAAGGGCTGATCATAGAAAGTGATAATGTGAATATCATCAAATTCATTCAAAATTCTTTAAAGGATAATAAGGAGAATGTGGGTAAGTGGCCGCATCAAAATCTTTGTTTTTTACATGACTTTAATAAGGTTGTTTTTCTCCATGCCTATAGAAATTGTAATAGAGTAGCACATTGTTGTGCTACTGTGGCTTTGGAGAATAGTTTTTTCTTTGATATCTCTTCTTTTGATCATATTCCTTCCTTGATGCTATACTTAATTAAGGAATAATGTGATCCCCTTATTACTTGTACTTAGCTTCTCTTCTGATTTTAATGCAATTTACTGCATTTCTTTCAAAAAAAAATACAAGAAGTTACAGATTTTTTTTCACCCAGATTTGGTTCACTTGATTAGTCAAGTTCATATTGATTTTGAAGGTGAAGACCAGTTGGAAATGATGAAGAAATGCTCAGGAAAGATGGTTTCAGCATTGGTGTATGAGCAGATTCTCATTAACAAATTTAATATGGAGGATGCAGATTATTTTTCTTGGCTACAGAAATTGAAGCTTAAGAAGAAAGTAGAAGTTTTTTGGTGGAGATTGTGGAAGGCAGCCATTCCAACTAACCTTTTCTTGAAGAACCGTAATATTGCAACTAATGATTTATGTCCCAGAGGTTGCAATGAAAGTGAATCTTATGAGCATATAATGGTGCATTGCAAACATATGACTGATGTTATAGCAAGAATGGTTGAATGGGGCATTCCTATCCCGGTTTTCAGTTCACTTTACAGTTATTTATAGGGTTTAAAATGCATTGCACAGGAAAAATCTGGAATTGTACAGATTTATTGTAATATAGTTTACCATTCATGGAAGAATAGGAATAATGTGAAGCATGGGAAGGGTGCTTTACCAAGTTCACTGGTTGCTTCTAATGCTATGTTCACAGCCATTTCAAATTCCGGTCCTCATCTTTCTTGCTAGGGTGCTAATCTCCTAACGGAGTCTCAAAGCACTTGGTGCCCTCCACCGAAAGAATGGATCAAAATCAATGTTGATGCTTCTTTGCTTAAATCTAATTTGGCTGCAGTTGGTGGGGTCTTAAGAGATCACAAAGGCAGGTTTATAAGTGCTTTTGGAAAGAAGGGGTCTCATTGGGATATTGCTCAATTGGAACTTGAAGCTGTGTTCTCGATTAGGGAAATTCTGAAAAGCTGGATGCTGGAATGCAAAGGATTAATCATTGAAAGTGATAATGCCAATGTGATCAAATTCATTCAAGATTCATTAAAGAAGGGTGAACGGTACGTTGATAGATGGCCTAATAAAGAGTTGTGCTTTCTTAATTATTTTAATAAAGTTGTTTTCCTCCATACTAATAAAAGATGTAATAAGGTAGCAAATTGTTGTGCTACTTTAGCATTGGATAAGAGTTTCTTTTTTGATAGTTTTGCTTTTGATCACATTCCTTCCTTGTTGTCTAGTTTAATCAAGGAAGAATGTGATCCTCTTACTAATTGTACTTACTAGTTTCCTCTTTAATGCATTTTTGGTGCATTTCTTTCAAAAAAAAAAAAAAAAAAGAGAAAGTAATTTTATATCTTATTTTGAATCATCTCTTAGTAATTGTTTTCATTAAAATATTATTTACTAGCTCGCATCAGAAATCAGCATCAAATTATCGTTTATTAATATTTCATAAATTTTTCTAAAACTTCAAAAGATATCAATTCAACCTCAGCCTGATGGCTGAGTCGCCATCTGCAATTTTCAATAATTTTGGTGTTGGTTAAAAGAATAAAAAAGAAACTAACCAAACGTGACAATTCTGGTCAACGAAATCAGCCCTAAAGCTGCAAAAACAAAATTATTTCGTCCAAGACTAAATCCGCGATTCATAGATATTATCAAGGTTTATTTGGCAAGATGAATCTATGATTCTTCCTGGCTGATGCTAAAACTAATTAATTGCGATTTACAAAATTTACATCGCATTGATATACTGATTAGAATCTTAACAGTGTCAGGAAAAAGGCTTCGAGGCATCTGAAAGATCATCCAGAATGAAGGTTCCAAGTTTCCCTGCCCTGAATAATATCAACAGCTTCTTGGAGACCTTTATGAAAGCCTCATCAGAATCGAAGTGAGGAATCCTGAAGGTTTTTTGGAGTGCTATAAGCTGCTTGTGAATGAGACTTTCTAGTTCGTTCTCCTCTTCCAAGTTGCCCTCAAACTCTGATAATGTAATATATAAAGTTTTTTGGACTGACTTAACAAGATCCTGTGATAAAACATGAGAAGAATCATAAAATAGTTTCTGATAAACAAAAGGGTATTGCAAAAGTTCATATTATGAAGTTATTAACTGTGCACATAATTTCTCTGCTATAAGACAAATGAGATCATCAGGTTCAAAATTTCTTGCTACCTTCTTATATCTCGTAACTCAAATTTATAGTTTTCGTAAGAAACTTGACAGGATATATGACAAATTTAACTTTGATAGGCATGTAGGAATAAGCAAAAGCAGCACTTCTATTAATACACAGCATGGGCAATCTTGATAGAGAGGTTCTTTAACTCATATAGAAAATAAATTAAATTGATTAAAATTAAGTAAAAGCATGACAAGAAAAAGTCGTACAAGAATGTGCAATAGTCAATAAGCCATATAGATTTATACGTTTCCAAAAGAAATCATATTGTTTATATGCATCACCTCGATATACACGGCTTCATATGCATTCTTGCGATTCCTCCGGTTCGGAATAGAGTCTTTCAGAACATTTTCAACTGTTCTAACAGTTTCATTTGCAGATTCAATTGCACGTTCTTTTAAAAGGCGATCCCAATGCAGTGGAGTTCTGCGTAAGTTTAGAACAGCCAACAAGTAATGAGCAAGACGGACTTCACCTGCAACAGAATCTTTCACAGCCCCTGCATTTAGGTAAATGCTTAAGAAAGAAATATAACAGAAAAAGGCTATGGCATTGCTTTTTCGGGAAATTGAGGCTATATTAAAAAAATATCCAATTATCATTTATTAAATATTACTGCTATCAAGTTGGGTAATTTGATTAGGCCTCTACAAATTTGGCTTCAAGATTTAAGATTGCTCAAAATCATATTGATTTTTCGCATGAAAATCAGATCAGATTTATGCTCGAAACAAGCCTAGATAAAAGTCAACAAAGCCGAATAAAAAGCAAGCGTGTCTCGAATTGAATTTCAATTGACCGAAACCTAGCAAAAATCGATTTAGCTCAAAGAATAAATACATATATATATATATATATATATATATATATATATGTGTGTGTGTGAATGTATAAATTCATATATTTTTGGGGTTTTACATACATACCACTTTATTTTATGCTATTTGCATATCTAACACCTAAAACATTAATATTACATAACTACCACCCATAGAATAAATTTAGGTGCATGAAATGAAATATTAAAGTTTATAGAATGGTATGAATGGTAGAAAATAAATTATAGAAGTGGTATATTTGATATTAAAGTTGTATATTAGTGGTATGCATGTAATATTAATGTTTTGGGTGTTAGATATGTAAATAGAATAAAATAAAGTGGTATGTATGTAAATTTCCCTATATTTTTATAGTTTTTAGGGCACTTCTGTTGGAACTTTATCATATGCACTCTCTAAATCAATAAATATACTATGTAGATCCTCCTTGCTATCTCCAATTCTCCATCAAACCTCTCAACAAATGTATAACTTCTAAAGTAGATTTACACAGCATAAATCCAAATTGATTTTGAGAAATATTGGTATCACATTGTAACATATGCTGAATTTCTCTCATATAATTTTAATTTATGGCACATCAACTTAATTCATCTATAATTAGCGTGCTTGTATACATCATCATTATCTTAAAAATAGGAATTAATACACTTCTCCACTTATCGGACATCTTTTTACTATTCACAATAATATTAAAAAGTTTAGTAAGCCAAGAAATTCTTTGCTCACATTTCTTTTAGAATATCATCAGATCCTAATACTTTTTCACACTATTTTTTTTAATGACTCTGCAACTTCATATTTACTTAATACGACAAATAAAACAAAAACCCTACTATCAACTATGGCGCTAAGATCACTACAGTCAATCATCTTATCATAACCTTTATTGAAAAGTTTATCAAAATCTCTCCTCCACTTATTTGGCTTCTTTTTACTATTCACAAAAATATTAAAAAGTTTAGTAAGCCAAGGAATTCTTTGATCACATTTCTTTTAGAATATCATCAGATCCTACTACTTTTTCACAATATTTTTTTTAATGACTCTCCAACTTCATATTTACTTAATACGACAATAAAAACAAAAAACTCTACTATTAACTATGGCACTGAGGTCACTACAGTCAAACATCTTATCACAACCTGTATTGAAAATGTTATCAAAATATCTCATCTACCTCTCTTCTAAGAAAAACACCTTTTGTTTTTCATCTTTAATGCATTTCACTTGAACTCAATATTTACTTCACATATCCCTTTGCTTTGCTAACTCATAAATACATATTTCTTTCTCCTTAGTATCTAATCTATTCTATAAATCATTAAAAGCTAAATTATTTGCATCACTTATTGCTTTCATAGATCTCTACGAGACCTTTTTTCTCAGTTTTTTGAGCTTTATCTAAATCAATTTTTATAATAAAATTTTTTATTTTTCATCTTTTCTAGCATATTTTGATTATACCACGAATTATTATTACTAAAAAAATTCCTTTTAATTGTCTAAGCACATATGATGCAACATTTTTAATATTACTAATAATTTCTTCTCACATAATGATGCTAGATTCCTCATGAGCCCACATCTTAGGATTTTGAATCTTACACCCAAAACTATGGGAGAGAGCTATTGATCATAGGTTACTAGGTGATACTAATATTTCTAAAAATCAATTTGGATTCATGCCAGGTAGGCCTATTATGGAAACTATACATTTATTGAGAGGTTCAATGAAAAGATATAGAGAGAATAAGAAGGATCTACATATGATATTTATTGATTTAGAGAAAACATATGATAAAGTTTCAAGAGAAGTACTATGGAGAGTTCTAGAAAAGAAAGGGGTTAATAATGCTTATTTTCAATTCATTAAGGATATGTATGCAGGAGTTGTTACTTGTGTTCAACACAAGGTGTTTTGAACAAATATTTTCCTATTTCAATTGGATTACATCAAGGAGCAACCTTACACCATATCTTTTTTCTTTAGCCATGAATGTTCTTACTAGACATTTACAAGAGGATGTACCCTAGTGTATGTTTTTTTGCTAATGATATTCTTATTTTCGATACACTCAAGAGGGAGTAGAAGGTCAACTTGAATTATGGCGATCAAAATTCTATAGTGGTTGCTATCATTTTGTCTTATGTTTTAAGTTTCAGATACTAGGGATGTTTGGTCAAGAAAAATGGCTTTAAACATGAATCCTACCTTCTGGCTCAGGATTCCATTTTTTTCTGAAGGTAGATTGATTTTAATTAACCAGATTTTCCCCCGATGTCTATATCGGGCGTTTATTTAAGTTTGAGTCCTTACTTCTTATGAGCGCAAGCCCTCAATGTTAATTATCACTCCTACTACTTGGGAGAGGACACTCGATTAAGGATGAGTCACTTTTAGCATTACTTTGTAATTTTAAGTTTAATAGTCTCATTTGTGTGGGATAGAGGTAGACCCGATCCAAATTCCATGGTTCCTTCGTCCTAGGAATATCATAGATCTCAGTCCACCAACACTATCAAATCATTGGTTCGAGCGTCCCAATAAATTGCCTCCAAAAAAATTTATCACGTGATTTTTGCATAATGAATTTATTGTAACAACCATCAAATCATTTTAACTTTTGGGTTCATAATGCCCCCTGAGAAATGTAAATAATGTATTATTTTGTGCTATATTTTCAGTGAAAATATGTTGTTATAATTATATTGTACAGGAAAAATATTAAAAAATGCAAATCGTACAACACCATCAAAGGCACCGCCGGAGTGCTACAATATTGATATGGCGGTGCTAACTTCTCAATTGGACAGAGCAACAACATCAAAATGGTCATCTTTGCAATGCCATGTTCACCATCTTCAAGCGCCTCAGTGTCACAACCTATCACGCCTTGACGCAAAAAATGTCATTTGGGCACAGCAACGTTCGAAAGTCAGCAACGTTTGAAAGTCAAAAGCGCCATGGTGTAGCAAATATAACTCCCAAATGACACGATCTGCCAGTGAAACAATGCAACTATTCACTAAGTAATAGATTCACATTAGCAGACGCTGTGGCAGAGCAAAAGCATCAATGCAATGGCATTAGTTCATTTTATGAGCGCTGCGACGCCAATCTTTCAAGCGCTACAGTGCCAGTTGCCTAGTTTGTGTCTTTCTATAAATAGTCTGTGTTCCTTTTGTAAGGCTATTCAGTTATTTGTATAATTTCAATACGTTTTAAAGTACTTCAGATCTCTCGTACAGTCCAATCTAAGAGAGACTAGGAAAGTACTATATACAAACATTAGAGTATTTAATCAGTGTATGTTAGAGTAACTCCTTGCATTAAGTAAAAAGTGTAAAAGTCGCACATTGATACTTTATAGTGATATCATTCTCTTGTATTTTCATTCTTATATAATTTCAATAAAAATGTGTTTGCTTATCTTTTCTTTCATGTCTAGCTAATTCTCTAGTTTTGAATTAATGATGCAGAAAATATATTAAGAACTAATAAAGATTTTTGTGCTCTAAAAGTGAAATGATGTTTTTAATATTATCACATTCTTTATTTAATGCATATAGTGGCTATATGTGTAGTTAAAACGTAGTGTGAGGCATAGCATCAACAGAGGAATGCAAAAACAATTAGGAATAATAAAGTATTAAGTTTGTATACGTAGACATAAGAAGTAAAATATGCTAGGTTCTTAAGAAAATGATATAACTGTACGGATACAGCGATACAGATATGACACAATATGGATACAGGACACATCAATTCTTAAAAATACAGTATACAGGTACGGCACGGTCACGACATTATAATTTATAAATCATACATTAAAATTAAGAAAGCAATCAAAGCATAATATTTGTAATTACAAAAAAAAATGAAGCAATATCATTTGTAGCCTTGTAATGTATAATATCAAAATAAAAGCAAGCATTAAATGTTTAGTACAACAACAAAAGCATAAACATAAATTATCTAGCACATGAAGGTTCAACTATTCAACAGAAGGAATGATATGATTAGCTTCTTTAGTGGTTTATCTTTGAACTTCTATATCATCTTCAATAAATATCATAGCTTCTAATTTAAGCCCATCAAGTGAAAGATTAGCAATTTCTAATTATTCTCATATCATCAAGAGATTTAAATCCATCTCGAAAATGAGAGAACCTCGCTCGCAGTCGCAGAATTAAATAAGACGCATTTTTTTTTTTTACGGACATGCGTATCCGCTTTTGAAATTAAATTTTTTTTAAGTGTCTTTACCAAAAGTCAAAAGTACATTGTATGATTATAACTTTAATTATTAAAGTTATGTGAGGGTCGCGACATTATCAAGCATCATAATTATTTCAGTTATAGCGCTGAAGCAGTTCCCAGAAATAAGCGTCGTAGCATCAACACATGTCAAATGTCGCAATGGTGGCCCTTCCAAAAGCGACGCCCAATTTCCAAAAATCAACACTGCTGCGCCACCTGGCCTGAACAACTATAGCGCTTGTCGGTTGACCATTTTGTCGTTTGTTCCTGCATTGAGCGACGCAACGCTTCCTCGTGCTATAAGTAGGGATCCATTTTTTATTTCATTCAACACTTTCCATTTCCTTGAAACTCTTCTCTTTTCTTTTAAATCCTCACTAGAAGAATGGGCCCTTA